TTAATTCATACTGCGTTCTTCTCAAAATTCATAAATTATGAAAAAATTCTACTTGGAAAGAGCGATTTTGCCGACGCATATACAGATCTAAAAATAATTTTGGATCATCAAGATAATTTTATAAAAGTCTCAAGCATCATAAGTCATGTTGTAAAAAATTTTGATATTCTAACAATCAGTTTGAGCGTCATACACAATTATTTTAATGATCCAACAAAATTATTTTCAGATCGGTATCTAAAATTTTTAGATACTTCAGAAAAACTGTGTCCTTCAGAAAACTCCTTTCCGGGTACAATATATTCGTCTACGGATTTTTTTATTAGCATTTAAAATTAGCATATCTTGAAACAATTTTGACAAACGGAAGCGCAGAGGGTGGGCAGACCCTTGACATGGGTTTCGTTTCGAAACTTTTTTTTACGTTCTCTCCCATAAATCTGGCGCGCGATTTTTGCGTCTACGTTAAATTATTCGTGCTGCGAAAGAAATGGACAAAAGGCAGATAATCCCCTCCGTCATAAACAGTAAATAAATAACGACGCAATTTGAAAAATATGAAAATTTATTTATGGTTCATTCAATCCTGCCTACCGCATCGTCTTCAACTAGCCACCATATATCAAACAACCTTCCGTTAGTTCAAGCGCATCCTTTGAGAATCGTAAAATTGTCCATTTCTAATCTACCGAAATTTTAGAATGCCTAAAGGAAATCGTAAGCCTCCCTTAACTTTTTTTTTTTTTATTTTATATGCACGCGGAAGAAGTGGAACTCATTTTCTTAGGGTATTTTTAGGCACACCGCTTATATACGTGCTCCCTCTTGGCGGCCATTAATTTTTATTGATGAAACGCATTAATCTCAGGGTACGTTTTTTTTACTTCGCTGCCAAGTACGCTGTTATTGCAAGTTGCATTCGAGAAAATATTATTGATTAATTGGAGAGTCGCCGGCGATGTGGGCCATATTTAATTGTAATTTATCTCGAAAGGGACTCTCGTCTTCCGTCTTTCGAAAACGTCGCGTTATCGACCGGAGAAAGGAAACGGAGGATACTTAACGTCAAATCTTTAACGTCCTACATTCCGACATTAATTTTGGAGCAGGCCGATATCTGTGGCGAGTGGATAACTTTTCATCGCCAACGATTATGATTTTGCATTACCAGAAATTCAAGAAACTCGGATTTACTCTATTTTTTACCTTCAAAACGTACGTAACAAACTTAAATTATATCCGTATTGGACTGGATATACTATGATTGAGATTGAATTTAACTAATCAGAAGAAAGAAAATTAATATCAAGTTTAGTGAACTCTGCTTTGATTGGCTAAATTCAATTCCAATCCTAATGTCGATCTCTAATTTGTGATACAAACATTATCAATTATTCATTATAATCAGTATATTGCACTTAGCGCGATCTTTCTACTCTTTTAACATTTAATTATTTTAACAAAATAATATAAAGATTAAAGATTTCTGTCGCACGTGCGACATGTTCTAAACTAACACGATGACTTGACTTGGAATTAATTGAACTACTTTCGGTTATTCAAAAAATTGTAAATTTGGTTTGATATTGCAAACTTCACCCAAACAAACAGGGCGACTATTCTCTTGCATTAATAGCAGTGAGAATCAATATTCTTCTTCTTATTTTTTTTGTTATTATATATCAATTATTCCTTATGAAAGTAAAAGCATTTTTACAAACTGGTTAAACAAGCGCCTATAGTTGATACCAATTAAAAATAATATAACATCTATGTTATAATTTCACACTCAACAATATTATATATTATATTACATTTGTATTATTGAATGTAAAATTAACATAGATGTAATAGATTTAATTGATGCCGTCTGAGTAAAGAGGTACCGGAACGCGGTTCGGTACAATCTCGACAAACTTCGCTGTGAACAATATACTTCACTCGCGGACAATTAAAACGCAACAGTTGACGCGCAGGTGTACCAGGAAAGTATTTTTTTGATGTCCTCAGCATCCGGTGTCGAGCTTGCCGAAAAACGTTTACGGGTTTCGGTACTCGGATACTTCAAGTATCCTCACGATGATCGTATACAGGACAGGCGGCGCGATAAGTGCGACGAAGCGTGAGTTACTCGTGCATACCCTCGTATGCTTGACAAACAAATTGAGTGCGTGTACTTACTTAATGTATCCTCCCGCGAAATATACGTGTGTAACGCGCGTGTCGCTTAAAAGAAAGTCAATATAACTGGCGCTGGTTACGTATCCCTTCTTCTCTTATACCATCCTCCGGATCTGGCCAGTACCCCCCTACCATTTTGGTGTTCGGATCGCCGCTGTCCTTCGATATCCTATGCCGGTCAACACATCACATTGATTCCTCTCGGTCCATCCGAGATACCTCACCAATTTTATTCCCGACACTCTCGTTCACGGCTGTAGACGAGACGGTCGCGCGCCGCCGACATTATCCACGCATATCGAATATGTTTCCACGAGATGATGGATGCTCGTCTGGCGAACGAAACTCCTCACTCTAAAAATAAAAAAAGAGGATAAAAGCATTTTGTACATATCAAATTAAATACAATCGAACGCGATAGTGCTTTCAAGCATCGAAACTAAAACGAAGTATGATAATAATAACAATAGTATAAAGAATATGATGATGATAATGATATATGTATATAATAATAATTTAAATAAGTCTCATTACAAATGCATGTCTCATCGCTTATTATCCATGAGAATTCCTGTGTGGATCGCGCTTCATCAAAAAACACTTTCCTTTTTATTAATTCACAACATGAAAATTATTCCTACATTATCGTTAAGGAAAAGTAGTTCCACTGTTCAGCGATAAATATCATGCTAAACGACTCACGTTTATCACGTCTGATTATGTCCTGTCTTTATCTGGCGCACTTTTAAACTATTTGCTAAACGCGCGCGCTACATCTGGTAAGTATACGCAGATAGGTATTTCACGAATCGGGATTTCTTCTCGGTGATGTGACGTAGCTATTACGGTTCTATAAATATGCCAGATGATGATATAACAATGTATAATAATTTTCAATAACAATTCTAATAATGATAAAATAGTGAAAATAATTACGACATTGACTTACGTACAATCGTACACTGCCGCGATGACTGAATCCACTGATTCATGCAAATTTTCCTGTGACAAATCTGATTGTAAGAATGATGAGTCAGTTGTCGATCACTAGATTTTATATTACGTGACTGAAAATACTAGGAATCATTCAGGATTTAAAGTATAAATTTCGAGAATGAGGTCTTGAACTCATTTGAGATGCTCAATACATAGTGCTAGATCTTATTATTATAAGATGGGATTTTATCTATTTGTAATTCGAATTGTATACACCGTGCACTTTTATTTTGTATATTTTTTATATTAATGTACATTAATATGCGTGTATCTTAATTTATATATTTTATGTATCTCATGTATTTGTTAATTTATGTATTTCTGACGAATCATATTGTAATTGTTAATTTTATTTAAAGTAATTTGATTTTAAACAATTAGCATGTGTATTTTAATCGTGAAAAAGAAATTTTTATTCTATGAATTAATTAATGTAAAGTAATTTTTTAAAGAAATTTTTTATTGATGAAAAGACGACATTGCTTTAACTTTATACATATATATATAATTTTATTTTATTAAAAAAAAAACATTAATTTATCTAATACTGTATTTCATACAAATTTTTTTCCGTGTACATGTGCCGTACCTAAAAAATTCTGTTTAAAAAGACTTAACTTTCCGTTCAATTATGGATCCTAAATTGTCGAAAAAATAAAAGAAAGTGCCGAGATGACTATCCGATTAATTCTCCAGTGTGTAAGATTATACTTATCTAAGCGAGAAAGGTGTCAAATTACTTTCAGCGAATCTATCGAGAGATTTCGAATTCATGATTAATATCATCATAAAAATCGTCCTTTTATAAGTTCTAAATAATACGTTAGGGATTAAAAAAATGAAATTAGGATGGTCATGAGTATTCGGATAATCCATATGCAGGTATCCGGAATGAAATAGCATTGCAAAAAAGATAAAAAGAAAAAGGAAACCGAATATAAATATGTACACGTAGTCAGGGATGCTATTTCACAGACGCACGGCATGCTACACGTCATGTGAAGGGGATAAGCTGGTAAACGGTGACGACAGTGGTGACGATAAGTCAGGTAAATGTTAACACCACGTCACGCAATATGTACTAAAGCTCGTGTTATACTACAACGTATTGGAGATTGAGGATTGCGAATTGAATTATTATTGTTTTTCGATATAAATTTTTCCGTTTTCTATTTCTGTCTTTTTAAATAACTATTCTTTATTAGCGAGTATATTATTAATTTTATTCAAATCTAGTTTGAGAATTATACGAGGAACACAGAAGATGTACTTTTCATTCTTTTTCCCCCTTATTTATTTTACATTAATATTTTTTGTGTCAAACGTAATCTTTGTCAATTTTTTATCACATGCATTTAGTTTAGTGTAAGAAATAATTTAAAATAAGTTTTAAATGTACACAAACGCAAATTTTCTAAAAATAGTACATTTTTCATCTAAAAATATACTAAAAATATAGATTTATATGGGTAAACTTTTAAAATTACATATTGTACTCTCAATATTATATCAAACAAGAAAAAAAAAGAAATTAAAGATTTAGTACAACTTTAATTTTCCTATAGTAAATATGTCATGAACAAAATATATAATTAATGTACATAATGAGATACATACATGGCAAGATATGTACAAAACTTATAGATGATAAATTAAATCGTGATAATTATTACATATATCTGTTGTGGTAGTTTTAGTTTTTCATTTATGAGAAGACAAAAATATGCAGTTATATATATCACAAGGTATCTTAAAGATCCTAAATTTAATTAACTAGAGATACGTAATTTTATATCACACAGGACTATGATAATATATGTTGCACTAAATTTTACTACACTGAAAAACTTTCTCCACATCCACATGTCCCTTTAATATTAGGATTATTGAATATAAATTCAGAGCTTAATTTGTTTTCGGTATAATCCATTTCTGTTCCAAGAAGAGATAGCTGTGCCTTTCGATCGATGAAAATATGGACACCATCCTGAATCACTTCCTCGTCAAGTTTAGATTTTTCTTTTGCATAATCTAGGGTGTAACTCAAACCATTGCATCCTCGTTGCCGTACTCCAACCTTCACACCAATCTACAAATCGAACATAAACACTAATTCTTACATTACATTCTGTACATATTTTTAAAACTCAAAGAATTCGTTATAAATCTTTGTGTCCCAATTATTAAAACTGTACATTTCTTTCAATTACTGTTATGCAGGTATAATTATATTCTATTTATACTTACATATTCGCTTTTATCTTTTAAAATCTCCTTAATTTTTTGAACAGCGTTGGGTGTCTAAAATGTAAAATATTTCTTCATCAATATTTACATAAAAATGTATCCTTGAAAATGATAAGGTTATTATTCATTGTGGTATGTTGCAATGTTACGAAATAGTAGAGCACAGGCAATTACGCAATTAGAATTAAAACGTTCGCAAAATCCGTCGCAATTAAATGCAATGACAATTGCAAAGTAAACTTATTTAAAGAATACTCTGCATTATATGTTTTTCTCCAAGCTTATTTATTTTTATTCTCTACATAGACGCGTTGAAAGAGGTTGGAACGCGAGTACGAAGCGAATCGGATGAGGAATTACTTTTGTAAAAAAAGAAAGTGATGTGAAAAGCGATAAAGCGGGAGTGTATAATTAATAACACGCTAACCAGGGTGAGTGCAGCGCGAGTAGGAAGGATCTTTCTCCCTTTCACAGCTCGTATCGTAGCGGTCGCTACCGTGATAGATGCCATTTTTAAATGTGTCGACGGATCTGCCAGCTGATCGGTGTCACGTGCACGTATCCAGTCGCGTTCGCATTGTAATGTAAAGTCACGTTCACATTACAAGTTGCGCGAGTTTCTTCAATTGCACTTTCTGTTTTTCTGCCTCCTTTCTTTCCTTTTCTCTGAGCTGCATTTCTTTTTCCTCGATAAATTTAAAAATTAAAAGAAATGTCCATTTAAAAGAAAGCGGCGCTTTCTTTTAGAGATAAGCTTCAAAATTGCGAAATCGCAAGAAGAATTATTAAATTAAAATATTTCTGATTATTCAAGTTTCCTAACCTATTTCGTATATTGGATCTGCACTCGGGATTTTCAGCGAACGGATATTTAGAAGCCGCGATTGGTCGCTGATTTATAGAGTCCGGTGACTCCAGATGTAATCGTCATTCTAACAAATTTGCCGACTGTTGCTGACTCACGAGCGATAAAAGAAATATTCGTGATGGTAAAGAGCATTTTTTTTATAAGTTATATTTACTTGATTAATTAATATATATGCTGTCTCTCACGATATCATTTTATTAGTCATTAAAAGAATTTGTGTTATTTTAAGCAGATATGCAATTCTGACAGATAGCTTGATCAGTCTGATTTATATGCGTTTGTTATACAAAAATAATGTTTTTAGCACGGCCGAGTGAAGGTGCGTACGACAGCAGAACAGGAGGAAATAAAGAAACGGGAAAGAGCAGTCAGAATAGCTCAATATAAGGCTGACATCGCTACAGTATTTCAAAAGGTTTCAACTTGCTTTATCATATATACAAAGTAGCACCTGTTACTGTAATTTCCTTTCTCTCTCTCATACATGAGTGTTATATCATTTACATTTCAGAGGAAAGATAAGAAATTGGACGATGAGGTATTATCAGTCACTAAGCGTATGCTGTTGAACAATTCAGACATTTATACACTGTGGAACATCCGTCGCGAAGTTTTCGAGAATAACGAATGGTAGTACATTAACTAGGTATCTGATTCACGAGATGAATAAAATTAATGTAATGATGAAACTACAGGAATGAAGAAGATTATAAGCAGCTACTTGAGAATGAAATGAGCCTGACCGAGCAGTGTCTCAGAGATAATCCCAAGTCATATAGTGTGTGGCATCAAAGGTGTTGGGTGATGGAACAAATGTCCGAACCAGATTGGAAGAAAGAATTGTCTCTGTGTGCAAAATGCCTAAATATAGATGAAAGAAATTGTTAGTACGCCATATTTATAATTATTACTGCAATTGTATATTTTAATATAGCACCATTATTTCCAGATAGCAAGTAGTTATTTGACATTAATATTTTTTTTGTCATCAAAACAATAAATAATGTTACTTTGCTGAACGCTTTCAACAAATTGACACATATCTGTAGATACATTTCTTTTTACTGTAGTTCACTGCTGGGATTACAGAGAGTTTGTTGTGCAAAAAGCTGAGATCTCTAACGAGGAGGAGTTTGAGTTCTCCACCACAAAAATATTGAATAACTTTTCAAATTACTCGTCTTGGCACTATAGAAGTCGAATATTAACTAAAATGTTTGGCACTACGTCTGAAGAAATACCAATTGTAGACGATAGATATAGAGAGGGTAAATTATTTATATATAATTTTTTATGTTCTGTATTTTACATCCTAATATATTTATAACGATATAATATTTTCCAGAGCTTGATCTAGTCATGAATGCAACATTTACTGACCCCAATGATACTAGCGCATGGTTCTATCAAAGATGGCTTTTAGATAAATGCATGACAACTTGTAGGCTATGGCGTGCACAAATTACGAAAGATACTGCTATTGTTGTTATCGACAATAATATATTGATTAAATCAATTTTACTTTCATTAATTATAAATGGTGAAACTATTGATGTGCAATGGCAATTACATCCAGATGAAAAATTTGCCAAGCTACGAATCGCAGAGTTCGCAAGATCATTAGAAGATTTGGATAGTGCCAAAGAAGTTTCTATAAAACTGCAGGAAACAATGTATCAACTTTCGTATTCAGAGTTAGAAGGTATATGGATTTACAAAGATAATTCCAGTTTGCATAAAGAAAATAGCAATGATAAACAATTAAATGAGCAATTAAAGAGCTATAACCAACTTTCTGAAATGGAACCAAATAATAAATGGGCCTTACTGACTAGTATGTTACTGATGAAAAAGATTGATTTCAACAAATTTTATAATGATATATTAAATAATCTATCGACGCTATCAAAAATCGATAGTCTTCGTAAAAACTATTATAAAGATTTGCGTAAGTAACGTTTTTTATAATGAAATATTTATAATTTGTCTCTTTTTAATAATACTATTAACTGGTTTTTTATTTGTTTATTATACACATGCTTCTATCAATATTATCTATTTTTTTAGGAAGCAAACTTTTAGTGGAGTATAAGCTACTTGAAATGTGGAAAGAAGAAAATGATTTAGAAATACAGTCAAAAATTGATTTATCAGGATTAGACTTGACGAAATTGCATAATAATCATTACTTCAGTTTCTTCAAAGAAGTGAATCTTGGTGCAAACCAGTTAGATAATTCTTTATATCAGCTTTCCACATTACAACGATGCACAAAACTGTCACTGTCCAGCAATGGCTTAACATCATTGAAACGTTTTCCTACTCTATATAATCTCGAAGTTCTCTCTTTGAGAAATAATAAGTTGGCGAGCACAAAGGAAATATTCAACTTAATAAAACGACACAAAAATTTGAGAAGACTAGATTTACGAAATAATCCAGTATGCCAAGAGATCGATATAGCTAAAATTCAAGACACAAGTTCTCATGTGGAAATATGTTTACAATAACGTCAGAAAATATACTTAATAGGCACAATATATTAAAACATATTTAATAATTATAATTTTTTATGCAATCTCTATCCGATGTTTTTACTGTTTTTTATTACAAGAATATCAAATTAAATTCAGATATGTTAAGTGAATAATTTTATCACAGCAACTTAATTGTAAAACATAATCTTTCAGTCTAGAAGAGGCTCCCATACATCACTAGATTATTCTTTCTGTTTCATATATCTATAATAAACTCTCTATATAAATACAAATTAATAAAATTGCGATAAAAGACTATTATTGAAAATTTTTCTTAATCGAATCGCTACTGCAATCAAAGTTTATTAAATGCTTTCCGCATAAATAATACTTGGATCACATTTTTCTAATTTATACTACATGTTCTGATAATAACCGGAATTCAAGTCGGCCGGAGTTAAAGATGAATCACCTGTGCTGCATGGGATTGTCGGAATATTTGATCCTTGAATCGTAAAGCCATGATAATCTTCCGAGTTAATCGGTTTCAAAACGGGTGGTAAATTTGCTTCAGGTGTAGGACACTCGTCTAATAAGCTGTCTGTCATATGTTTTTTAAAGAGTTGGGTATCGCCAGATGCAAGATCGGATTGAGTATCTAAGCTAATAAGACTAGTCTCGTCTTCGCCTTTGCTGACTTCCAGACTGTCGTCACCAATGAAGGATGGAAAATCAAATGTTGGAGATGGCGTTACGGAATCTTCTACTAATGACGTTCTCATTAAATCACTCGACAAATCCATCATTACGCCGCCATTCATGTTATCGACAGAATGCGGATATATCTGTTAGAAAATTTAAAATGTTTCGTGAAATGTCATTCAGAGAGAAAAATCACATCTAATTCTCATCTATTGTATCTAATTCTCACCTGTGGAATGATCGGCGGTGGTAACTGATAGCTCTCAATATCCTCGCTATCTAAATTAGTAGGTACTCTCTGGCTATGCGATATTAGTAGCGGTGTTCTTTCAATTACTTTATCTACATCCTCTCTGATCTTCTCTTTGAAATCTATCATTTTATTTTTCAATTCTTCTGCTTGCTTTATAATGTCGGTATTTTTAGCTTGCAAGTCATCCAATAAAGTTATATCTTCGCACATGAAGTGTAAACTCTGCAATAATTAAATATTACATAAATTAAAAATAAATTTAACATTATATAATAAATTACATCCATGAGTAATCAATCCTCAACTCAAAAATATATCACAAATATTACTTCGCATATCATAAGAGCTGATTCCCATGTATTAGCTGGAACACATTCCCCTGACATGTATGCATTAAAGTCCTTCTCAGCCATATTCAAGGATTCTGCGGTTAAGTTTTCGATAAATGACACCGCACAACACTGTAATGACACAAACAGTTATTAAAAATAATAATAATCTTTTACCTTTAAAGATAGCGCAAAAGAAACTTGTGAAATTACTAATATGTATAACTGTACCAGATTTGTGAAATAATATCCTCCTTCTCCAGTCATTAATCTGCTGGCGTTGCAAAACCTCGTGATAAAATTTATATTGCTTTTGAGGCGCGCAGGATTAGCTTTTAAAACAATAAATATAAGCGCTGGAAGGAATTCATCAGCAGACGCAGGTCCATCGACAGACTGTTGCAACAATAAGAATATATTCCTACAGCAGTGAATTACACATGCCAGTTTCTCTTGGGGCGCTTTAGCAGAATCCATATTTAAAAGATCTGAAAGAAATTTGTGTTCTATATTTCATTGTGAATTGCAAAGTGTTGTGTATTATACAATTTCATTACTAATATAACAAATTAACAAATAATATAATAAATTAAATAACCTGTGATAGAAGTATAAACAAGTTCTCTAACTTCCGAGCTTGTCTCATGAATCCTACATTCCAAATTCTTGCCACTAACCCAATTTAATTGTCGTATCCTGTTAAGAATAAATGACTGCTAATATTCTATAGACAGTTTAAGCTTTGTGTGTTTCAAAATTATGATATAAACCTTTTTTGTATAGCCAAGTCTTTTTCTTCATCTGTTGTGAACGGAGGGCAAAAAAGGATTCTGTACAACAAAGTCATTGCATATCTTTCGACATAATCTAATAACTTCTCTTTAATGTCTGGAGGTATATCTGTAATAGCTCAATAAGTAAACTCCAAATTGTTTAGGATAAATGTAAGTAAACATAAAATAAATCAAAACCTGCATATTTGGTGCTGTTTTCCAGACGCTTTCCAAACACATGATAAAAGTTTTGTGTTATTTCCGATAGTTCTTCTATCCTTTTCACATCTTTGTTCTGAAGTATGTCTATCACAAATGAATGTATGCATTTTCTTACATCCTTCTCAACCGGTGTCTTAGCTATATACAACAGCAAATCTCGATTTTCTGCCTTGACTTTCTCAAGATCTGGATTGTCTTTCAGTAGCTCGTGATACAATTCCTGATATCCTTGAACTTGAAAACGCATGAATATTATTACATAGTGTTACAAGAAAATTATTTACAAGATACAGCTTGAAATATAACATAGCTTACCTTTAGCAGTAGGTTTCCTAAATGAGATATTCAACAATTTATACTTTTTCTCCTGCTGTACTTTTTTCTCCTCGTAGCCCTTATGACTTCCTGCATTGATAGAACGATTGACATTGTCTCTGTAAAAGCAACAAAGATACTGCTTTAAAGGCACAGAAAAACATAACAAGAATTCACATGGGAAAAAAAAATCTTACGCATCCAAGGTCTGTGCATGAGACACACGTTCAGCTTGAGCTCGTCGTTTCTGTAAATGTTCCCGGTGGCACTTGCTGCAATAACCCTCCCATTCCGCGTTACCATAGAATCCACAGCCGTTTTTGCATTTCAGATCAGCCTCGTCGATTCGCAGAGTCGGTGTTTTCGTCGAATACATAACGACTGATGGAGAGAACCGTTCTCTATATATAACGGCGGAGAACCGCAAACCTCTGCCAAACCCACCTAACCTAACCTAAACTGTCCATCTAAGTCCGTTATGATCTGCGAACGCTCGCTACACTTTAATCCCCGTCAACATTGGATATCATTTTTCCCACTCTTGCAATCATGAAGATCTTGCAAACATCAGTTTATAACATTAAATGGAGGGAGAGATTAATGTGAGGAAGAAAATTGACACGAAGAGAGCAGAAGCAAACACTCCAGCATGGATTACCTTGAATTAGATTGGAGTATATTTTCTGGAATTGGTTTCTCTTTCTGATTGGGAGTCATGCAGTTGAGAGACTAGTCGCAGTCCTCGACAACCAATCGGCATCTCCGATAGGTCCGTCGAGGAATTGAGAATTTGAGAGAGATCTTTGTAAAATCTTTCATTGTAGAGTTACAATGAATCCTTTGACGTATGTATTTTCAATTCATTTATTGATTAAGAAAACTAGATTACATGAATAGTAAAAAATATATTTGATTAGTTGACTTAATAATTTGATTAATGATCTTAATTAATAATCTGATCAGTTAAACATTTCTTGTATTATCTCAAATTTTTAGCTTGATATACATGAATTTCTATTTTGTAAAGTAAAGGTATATGACTATATGGTTGATCTATGCTTTTAGTAACGTTAAAAACATAAAGAAACTGAACGATCAAGAGTTACAAGGGAGGAACAAATCATCTTGGCACGACCAGTATAAAGATAGTGCTTGGATTTTTATCGGTGGCCTTCCATATGATTTAACGGAAGGTGATGTGATTGCCATTTTCTCTCAGTAAGTTAAACTGTGAAGAAGTCGTAATTATAATTTTACACACAACTGGATTCATATTAAATATTAAGTAAAATATCATTACAGATATGGAGAAGTAGTTAATATAAACTTAATCAGAGATAAAGATACTGGAAAACAAAAAGGTTATGGTTTCTTATGTTATGAAGATCAGAGGAGCACTATATTGGCAGTCGACAATTTCAATGGCATAAAAGTATGTTTTAATGGGATAGCGATATGTAATTATTTATTTGTAGTATAGTTATGTTATTTGTTTCATTTTTTAGATGTATGATAACATTTTTTATCTATAAATTATGTAATTGAGATATCTGTAGAATATAAAATTATAACTATTTAAAATATCTATTAGAAATCTATTTTTTTTTTTAATTACAGATATTAGGTAGAGTAATACGAGTAGATCATGTTTCCAATTACAAGGCGCCAAAAGATTCAAAAAAAATAGATGACGAAACAAGAAATTTATGGAAAGAAGGTTGTGCTCCAAAGAAAGACTAAAGATAGACATACAAATCAATAATTCCAGAAATATTGTTTTAATTGTATTATTATAAATAAATTTAACATTTAGACTTATATGTGAAATATATTATTGACTATAAAGTTATTTACAACTACTTAATTACTGCCAGTTAAGTCTTCAGTGTGTTACAGTTGAGATTAGAAATATTACCCAACTTTTATCTCATTATTCCTATCATACAGTCTTATTTTCCAATTTGATTTTCCTCAAGTCTCAAGTATACAGAACTACTTATTAGGAGTCGCAAAAGATTAAGAAGCTCCCTGTTTTTGTATATGTTAAACAGAATAATATTATAATATTAATTGTAATCAGGATCAACGAACATGTTACTGAACTATGTTATTACTTCTTGAGGGAATGATATCAAGAGGAACCGAATTCGCTCATCCATTTCTCATATTTTTCTAAGTCTTCCTGGGAAACGCTTTTGTTACATCTCTCAACAGCTTCGTCGAAATCAGCAGCGGACACAGGCAAATCCAGTTCTTCCTTTGGTAATTGCCTGATTTGATCGGGCCTTAGACCCGCGATTTTCTTTCGCATTAGCATCATGGAAGCATCCCTACGATAAACGTGGGTAAAATAGATTAAAAAATTGATGTTGAACTATATTTTTAATAAAAAAAAAACTACTCACCTACAAACATTTGTAATATCTGCACCGGAATAACCCTCGAGTTTTCTTGCAATGTCTGTCAGGTTTACAGATGAATCTACTTTAACTTCGCGAAGATTTATTCTTAACAATGCTTCTCTGCCTTCATCTACAATAAATAAAATAAAACATTTTATTATTAAACACTACATTCTATTAAAAGCTTACAAAGTTCAATAGACTTACGATTCGGCAATGGAATGTAGATACGTTTTTCTAAGCGTCTTCTTAGAGCCTCGTCGATATCCCATGGGAAATTTGTTGCTGCTAGTACCATTACTACTTTACTTGGATCTTCGCTATACAAAACATGGATCTTTAGTATCCATTTGTATCACAAAAGTAAAAGAATTGTATAGTGTTTTACCTATTGGAACTTATTCCATCCATTTGAACAAGAAGTTCAGACTTTACACGACGTGAAGCTTCGTGTTCAGATTCAGATCCTCTTCTGGAGCACAGAGAATCAATTTCGTCGATGAAGATTGTACTGGGCGCATAAAATCTGGCCTATAATCAAGTAACAAAATATATTGGTATCATAAATGGACATTTTTTTTTCTTCTAATTACAGAAATTGTTTTTATTCATTCGTATATATATTATGTTTTAATTTCTTTTTACCATCTCGAATAACAATCGAACAAGTTTCTCCGATTCACCCCTATATTTCGATGTCAATGTAGAGGAAGAGACATTGAAGAACGTTGTGCCACACTCAGTTGCAACAGCCTTTGCAAGCATAGTTTTGCCTGTGCCAGGTGGTCCAACCATTAATACTCCTTTCCATGGTCGTCTAATTCCCTAAAAATATCACATACATGTTAATATAAACAAAATTTTATTATAATATACGATTAAAGTTAAAAAAGAAAATATACCTTGAAAAAATCAGGCATCCACATTGGAAGTACAACTGCTTCCTCCAGTAATCGCTTTGCTTCATGTAAATCAGCTATATCGTCCCAATGGATATTTGGATTCTTTTGAACGATATCTCTTTCTAATATTTCTACAAGATCTTTATCATTAGCTGATGGTTCAAATTTACGTTCTTCTAACTCAACATCATCTTTTTCCGTTTCTAACTTATCCTGTAAATTATTAATTATATCATGTTAAATAACTTATATTATCAATATATTACAAATTTGAAATATAATCAATAAAGTAAGTAACCTTGTTTGCATCGTCTTTCTTTATAATTTTCTTATCATCCTTTTTACCAGAAGCCTTACTATCTGGCTTTTTAGCCGTGGCAAGAGATTTTTTAATATTTGTCCGATTCTGTTGTTTCTGTTGCTGCATTTTTTGCTGCCTTGAACTTCTAAAAAAGATTTAATTTCTAAAAAAAGATGTAATTATATATTTTTCATAATTATATATCAGTATTAAAAAGAAAAACTAAAAATATTTTCTTGAAGAAGCAAGTTTGAACAAATAACAAATTGGTAATAGAGTGTTATAAGTTTAAATCAGTATTGATACTTTTGTTCTGCTGGAGTCAAAGGAGGCCACACATCGGGATCCCTGGGCTGTGTCTGACTCCAAGAGGAATCTGAATTGTTGTAAGCCCAGAGAGCAGGATCTCGTGTTGTTTCCTCAAATGATAAGCAGGATGTTCCTGAAATTTGTGGACTTGTTAGATCAGCTCGATATTATTCTAATTAGTTGCATGAACTTTAATTGTGCTACCGAGCAGCCTCTCGCCATGCGTGTCCACTTTGAAAAGTTGTAACGTGCTGGATGTGGCCTTCACTTTCTCAAACTCTTCAACGATCTGATGCTGCACTATCTGCCACTTTGCCTTACGAGTCGCATCTGCTATGGTCGCAAGTAATCTGTGTATCTGTTGCACAACCCCTTGATAATAGACAACGGACGTGTCATAGTTTCCCATCAATGCCATCTCACGCGCAAGTTTCGTGTTCTCGCAAATTTCGTTTATTGACACAGCCATGATTCCGTTGGTCGAGTAGATACAAAATTTATTGGGTTTTTGAAGAGATATCACGGTGATAATCCCTTGGATTCAATCGCACTTCTTAATGGCGAAAATTCGTTTAACACCTCGATATACATTTTTTCGCTGCAGTCGACATATTAAACTGCATTTGCATAACCGAAGATTAATTCTTGTCAAACGATTGCGCTAAGCATAAACTAATTTTGATAACTTGTACAACAAATTGATAAATTGCATAATAAAATGATAAGTTAATAACAAGTTAAATTTAAATATATGCTTTTATAGAAATTATGAGCTTCCATCAATTTTGTGTCATGCTCCTTTTGCATTTTCGTTGTATCACAGAAGTATTTTGTAGTATCACAGGAAATCACATGAAATTATACTAAAAACTCACTATCATAAACTGAGAAAATCGAAAATAACATCCAAAAATTACGATTGCGACCTTTCTGTTTCTGAAGCCATTGGTTGTACATACTGGTACAAAAACTTGGACATAAAGGTGTCTTCTTTATGTAGGATTCACACTGCGTCCGACATCCGACGTACGATATCCAATAGAGGATCGATTCTGTATCTTGAAACAAGGTGAAAATTGCAAAAGTCAGCGAGAATTTACTAGAACATTTATAATTTCATTGGTCAATACCTAATAAATTTGCTCACTTCTGTAATTTTCACTTTGTTTCGAGATACAGAATCGACCCCCTAGAGAGCTTGTTTTCTAGATATATAGCTAACAATGGACGGACTCAACAGTTGAGTGAGCGCTCGCTGTTATTGGTGTATTCTTCTAGATCTAAAATTTTAATTGGATGATCTAAAAGAATACACCAATAACAGCGAGCGCTCACTCAACTGTTGAGTCCGCTGAACGCGCCCAATTATCAGGGTTTCGATCATGAAATTTTTTCCCTATAGGATGAAAAGTGAAAAGTGAAAAATTTCTCCATTAACTTCAATAATAAAAATTTTCACTATTCACTTTTCATTCTAGGGAAAAAGTTTCATGATCGATAGGTTAGGTACCCAGGAAACAACATCACTAGGTGGCGATCTGATCGTCAACGGTCAACGTTTCTTTCCTATTCTTATTATGTTCGTTTTGCGTCTTCGCTCATTTCTTCGATTTCTTTTGCGAACGAAGCACCGGGTAGACCACGGACAACACGTGTAGTGAGTTAAATTGATCGAGGTGAGCTTACGATTAAAAAAGAACTGAAGTTTTTCTGCTTAGCAAAGATAAAGCATTTATAGTGATTAGAAAATATGTTTTCTGTGATACAATCTTTCATTTATTTTAATTAAATATTTGTTTTGATATCCTTCGTTTATTCTCTCACGTGAGTTCTGAAGAACCATTCGACCGTTATGAACGCGTTTCGGATCGGGTTATCTTATATTTTTGAAAGTGTTGCCGACTTTGACTATGCATTCCTTCTGGATGCTGTTTCGCGGACTGGCTGTAGTCGTTTGTCCTGACGCGCGTTATTGCGACGTGACGACGTTGTAGACGCAGGCGCTCGGTGTCCGTTCGGGCTTCGCCATTTTCGTAATTGCATTGTATTTTTGGAAAAGCCGTTGCCGGCGACTGAGCCCCTATGAATTTAATTTTAAGATGTGATCTGGCCGTATCGTCCTCCATGTTTGTTGTTTGGAGGCGGCAGCCGTAAATTGAAAAAGAAGTATTCTCTCACGTGGTACCCACGTGGGTTCGTAATCGTTAGAAGTTCGTCACAAGCCAATTTGACTCTTCGAAAGTTCCTTTTCGATTGTTTGTATTTTTTGTATGAGGTCACATTTGTCCGTTATCTACTTATCTACAATACATTTTAATATTCGTTAAACATTTTAATTTGAAAAATTTGATAACCTACTAAATTGATACTAAATTCACGATCTACTAATAGAGAATTTTACGAAACTCAATATATTGATTACGGGAAGAATCCAAGATATTTTTAAGATTTGTATAGCTTGAATTTTTTTTTTTCATATATATGAACGTAAAAATATTTGATTCCATACGAATTTATATATAAAATGATTCAATATTTTATTCGGACAGCAATAATACTACTTAGGGCCAATTGTTCCACCTTTCGGTAAATTTTACCTGTTAGGTAAATGTGGCGATCCATGCATGTGATTGGGAACAGATAAAATTGATTGAAAAAGATGGAATAATCGTCCCTTAAAGCCCAAGACAATGCGAGGGAATAGCGATAGCGATAAATTTCAACTTATCAAAAATGTGTACATTCCGGTGTATTCGATTTCTGATAAGTTGAAACTTATCGCTATCGCTATTCCCTCGCATTGTGTCTTGGGCTTAGTACAATAAAGTTTTAAGAAGTTTTTATTTTGTTTTTAATGGAATAAGCCCATTCTTGAATGTATTCTTTGTTTTCTGTTTCTTACTTTTCTCTCTCTTTTTTTTTAAGCATTTTGTCGTCATTGGTATTTTTGCCACATGTTTCTTCTGAAGTTCATTAACTTTAATCTTGGGCAACAGAAAAAAAGCGGAGTAAGAGACATAAAGATAACATAAGAGTAACAAAAAGCAAGAAACACGAAACAAAAAACATCTTGTAGAATAGGCTTTATGAATAATTAAAATTAAAATGTTCTTTTTATTTAATCTGCGATAATTCATTGTTAGTAATAAAATCTTAAGATTTATATATTAAAAAATGATTTTAGAAGAAACCTTTTACATTAGAAAATAAAAAAAGTTAAGAAATTTTTTTGATATTAAGCCCACAAAGTAAAAGAAAGGTCACCATTTTGTCCAGTGCTCTCTCTCTCTCTCTCTCTCTCTCTCTCTTGCTTGCTTGTAGTTTTTATATATAATATTTACACCAAACTCACAGAAACTCAAAGAATACAGTAAACTTTTAAAAGTACAGATTTTAAGCTGTATAAAAACCCTTCTTTTATCTAAATTTTATTTATTTCTAACGAAATTGTAACTACTTGAATTTCAAACAATACATTGAGAGTACAAATTTTTACTTGATCCAACAAATATTTGGTTTAATCTCCACTTTTTATATTTTGTACCTTATATCTCTTTTCTTTTGCTCTTTATCTCTTTATCTTACAACTTGTACACAAGTTTCTCTATAGTCATATATTTTTCTTACAGGAAAAAAAGTTTTATTGTTATAGACAGAAAAAATGGTTAAGGCAAAGACATTGAAGAATAATAAAGGTAAAGCAGAAAAACAGCAGTTACGTGGAATAAAAGATGGATCTATAAAAAAGAAAGATTCCAAATTTAAAAATACTCTCAATGATAAAGTAATTTCAAATAACAATTCAAAAAATAACTATACATCCAATAAAGGCAAAGCATTTGTAAAAACAATTTTAGATGAGACTTATAGTTCCCCAAAACCTATAGTTCCAAGCAATTATATAAATATAAAGCGTACTCCAAATAAAAACAAGGGTGCAAAGAAATATCAGGATCAAAAGCCTATTTCCACTGATAATGCAAAGCAATCAAAGCAAAATTCTCCAAACAAAACACAAAAGCAAAGCACAAATTCAAGCAAAGCACCAAAAAATAATAAGAAGACTGTCAACTTTAAAAAGATGGAAAAGCAATTTGTTGAACCTGACATCACTGAAGAAGAGGATAATATGAATACATCATCAGATGAAGCAGAAAGTGATTCAGAGTCGGATACTTCAAATATCCTTGGAAAGCTCCTAGAAGAAGACTCATATGATGACGATGACGATGAAGATTATGAAGAGGACGAGGAGATCGAAAGTGAGGATGATGAAGATGATGATGATGACGACTCTGAAGAAGAGACTGAAGATGATGAAGAGATGATTGAACCTGAAGTTGTAGAAAGGAGTAAAGGTTTGCAATCTAAAACCAAGAAAAATAAGAAAGATCAGAAGAAGGTTAACAACGAAACCGAAAGTGATACATCTGAGAATGATGATGACGACGAGAGTGATACAACTGATGAAGAAATGGAAAAGGAAAAAAGTACTAAGAATTTTAAGGTTGTTACAAAGGTAACTAAAATAGATCCTAAAGTAATGGAGAATTCCGATCTTGACAGCTATTACGACGAGCATGATTTTCAGGATGAAGATAACAATAGTAAAAAAGAAGGTACTAATAGCAAAAAAGAAAATAACGATATCAACAAAGAATCTTCTGAGTCATGTATGACAGACGAAGATGATAGTGATGAACTTTTTAGTTCTGACTGTAGTTCTGACTTTGGTAGTGGTAGTAGTAGTGATGAGAGAGTCGATGATGAAGCTTACATAGAGGAAATTATTTCTATAGGAAAGTTTCGCATATCAAGATCGGACAGAGACTACCTAGCCAAAAGAATTGTTCTGATTGATAATATTTACAAAAACACAAATGCTAGTGATATATTAGATATATGTTCGCGATTTGGAGAGGTGGACCTATTTGAAGCAAGACCTTATCCAGCGTTCTTTCTTGATAACGTAGATGCGCCAGGAACACTCAAAGAATGGATAGAGCTAGATTATCCACACCTAAGTACATACTCAGCTAATGTCCTATTTAGCACTCCAAAAGACGCTAAGAAAGCAGTGAAGTATATACAGGGATTAAAGTTTCAGGGACATTATTTAAATGTAGTAACTGCATTTGACACTGAAAAAGAGCCCAATTATGCTGTATATGTAACCGATCTAAAAGAAGGTATGTATAATGAATTATTGATCAATTGTTTCAATTATATAGCATGAAGAATAATAATAGATGAATGTTTTTTAATATTTCAGGAATAGAGGACAATGCTCTCTGGTATACGTTTAAGAGATGTGGAAAAATAAAGTGTTTACGAAACGTACGTGATCCTTTAACGGGGATAAGTAAAGGATATGGTTATGTGGCCTTCAAAAGCATACATTCTACAAAATGCGCTCTTGCAATAAGCGGTGTGACACTTGGTGGAAAGCAAGTAAAAGTGCAGCCGTATCCCTATAATAAGAATGCATCTCGTGACAATTTGATAGAAGGAATAAGGCGAAAGAAACATGGAATAAAGCGAGTTATGGAGTTAAAGAGGAGGATGGAGTTAAATAGGATGCTTAAAAAGAGGCCGTTTAAGAGAAGTTTGGAAGAGTCTGCAGTATGCGATGTATATATTTTAACTATTCATAAATACGTTCATTGCAAATATTACTTTTGATAATATAGTAAATTGCAGATTTTGTTCAAATAGAGAATTACACATTTTTTGAAAATAAAAATAGAATTAATGTTGCAAATTCTTTTATCTTCTTTTTATAGGTTGAAAAATCCGTTAAGGGGCGTAAAAAGCAACAGGGAGATAAAGAAGAAAATAAAGAAAAGTCTACTGCATTTCAAGGTCAAATGGTCGATTTAAAGAACAAAAAGAAGAAAAAAAAATTTAATAAGAAAAAGAAGATAATGGCAGAAAAGCTTACGGCTAAATCAACTAAAAAAATTTAAGTTAGTACCGTTGTGTACTTTATTATTAGATACATTTTTTACTTAATATTTTTTAATGTTTAATGATATTTTTTAAGTGTTCATTTAATATTTAAGAAAAAAAAGATTAGCATTGTAATGAAAAACACTAATCTTGTGGAAATTTCATCTAATATTGTCATATATTTTATCACGGAAAAAACGGTTGCGGTTGTCACAACCAAAAATCGTCTATCAATACTTATTTTTTTTATTCCATCTTTATGTTATCGTAATCAAATGTATTGATAAGCGAAAATTATCATTCTCAGTTGTGTCAATCATAACATTTTTCTGTAATGAATTATTAGGTTATTTCATTTTCAAAAACTGCACGTTTAATAAAAACAATAGATATTGACAATTATAAAGGACATTACAGTTCTCATCAAAAACTGTGATCACGCATAGATGTATTTTAATGTAACTGCTACCGTTTTTTAAAATAAATGTTTGACAAGAAATTTATATTGTTTTTAAGAATCTGCTTGTTTTGTTAAATTTCTGATTTTACCGTGTAACTGGAGCGGTAAGTGTTGCATGTTACTAGACGCGCACTTCAAACAAAAACGTCTCGTGTAAAATATGCTGCATCCTAGGCATACAGCATGTTTGCACACGCTGCAATCGGCGCCCAAGACCAAAACTTCGCCTCTGTTTGGCAAACTGAATGGATCTTTCATAATATAACACTCTTCCGAATAAACAAATTGTCGAGCAAATGGTGGCTTCGTGCCTTTGTAATCGTAGCGTTCCTTTAAAAGACAAAAAGAACATGCAAAAGTGTCGCCCGCGTTCATCGCTGTCTGTCGACTCTTAGAAGCATTCTGTTACATCTGCTCGCTGATATCAAGTTCGTCTGTTGTTTCAGCGAGATCTTCCTTCCTGTAAAGCAACAAGGAGCAAAATCTACTTAATATGTTATCGATTTTGGGCATAAATTTATTTTATATGTATAATTATTACAATTTTACATGTCATGCATATATATATATATATTTTTTTTTTTTACAAGCCTACGATATTTAGAAATTCTAATGTTATTTTGTATCTTTGGCAAAAATAATTTCTTTTTGTGATTCTTGAGGCCACCATGCAGGTTTTACTACCCTTACATTTATACCAGATACATTAAGCTGTCGGGCATTAAGAGATTCATTTATACGCATCAAACCTAATCCGTACTTAGCAACACATCCTCGGAACTTCCCTACCGCATTGCCAGATTCGTTGAGAATTTTCTCATCATATGCAAACGGTTTATCTATAACGTTATCAAACAACAGAGGCATCAGCCGTTTCCTGACTACACCCGTGTGATATGTACGCGCGGTTAATTCCTGGCCAACATAGCAGCCTTTATGAAAACTAACGCCGTGTAAATAATCACAATTGATCTCCAAAGGTAATGCTTTTCCAGGTGGTAGATCATGCATGCCCTCCCCTATGCCCAGTTTATATCGAAACGCCCGATAATCTCCTAGATTCTCTGACGAAGGTATATCAGCATCTAGATATTTAATTATCTCGTCTCTGCCAATTTGTGACTCGGCTAAAATTCTGAGGCCTAGCTCAGGCAATCTGGGATCTTCGTATATCATAACGTTGTCGACAAATTTGCTGGTTTTACTGTTTAACGTGCCACATGGAAATATCATTCCTTCCAGCTTTCCTGTCTCATTTGCTGCAGCTTCATTATTGAAATGTTTGATAGAACTGAACATCGACCAAACATTGATTTTGTTCCCTACATATTCTATATTTATCTTTCGTCTCACGCGATACATCTTTAGATGCCTCTGTAAAGTGTCGACAATCTGCGAATCGCATTCTACATAATACAAGTTGCTTTCTTCACTCTTGTATACAATAGCATCGCACATCACTCTGCCTCGTATATTCAGGAACAAAGTGTAGATGCTAGGTGCTCCTTCGTCGAGATGCTTCATATCGTTCGTAATCAATCCCTGGAGGAAAATGGAGGCTTCGTTACCGCTTACGCGCAATATGCTCCTGTCAATCAAGCGTTCTAAAGTATTGCCATCGACTTGGGTTGAACCGTGTCTAACCGTATACCGCTGGTAGCTACTGATCCTTTTATTTCGCTTGCACATGTGAAGAACGAAGCGACTAACGCGATCAATCATCATAGCGGACGTCATGTAGATTCGAACTTTTATTTCTACGAAAAATAAACACGCAAGTACACTAACCTAGAACCGTTGTTGTGGACGGTTCTGCCTAACCTCAGAATATCTCAAGTACCTAAAGTCCTTCCAAGCTTCCAACAAGCGACACACATATGACACGGTGTGACACAGTGTATCAGTACGTCTTTATTGTTCGCTAATGTTAAAGGATGAGATGATCACTGTGTCGCACCGTGCCGCTTGTTGGAAGGCACATTTTTAATTATTTCTATACGCGTCATAGCGCAATATTGTATACGAGATATATTATCTTACATTTCTCTGTGGTGATTCAATTACGAATTGTTTCAATTAGTTTCCAATTGATCCCAATTATATGATTTGGTATTTAAAGATGCTTGAAAGCAGCCCAATCGTCCGCATCCCGAAATCAGATGATCATCAGATGATCAGTTCCAGCTGCACTTTCTGCACTCAAAAAATTGAAACGTTGAAAAGAAATAAAGAGAAGTAATAAAACAATCTAACAAGATATACCGTGAATCGCGTGATAATATTCTGGTACAAAAAAAATTAATTTATTCGACAGTAAAAACGGTCGGTAATATCAGCATTTTATTTATTCCCACAAGATCACTTTGTGGGTACGAAAAAATTTTCATAGATTGTTTTTATTATTACACGTCTGAGTATCTGTGTCAAATTTATGCACAATTGTAACTGTTTAGATTTAAAAAGTTTTTTAAATTTTTTGTTTATTGTAATTCTGTGTATTGTAATAATTGCAAAGTTGATGAGAAATTAAATAGCGTTAAAAATTAAATTAAATTTTATACATATCTATATATTTACTGATGAAATAATAATAAATACTTGTGAAAAAGTTTATTTGGAATTTAAAAATTATATATAAAATTACAGTAAAATATGGACATTTTCCTATATAAATCATTATAGGTATATAAATTAAATTATCTAGTTTTGTTTTATGCAGTGGGTTTAAATTCATGATCGATTATAATAAATAATTTTCAATGTGTAAAATAAATTATATCGTTGTTATGAATAATAAAAAATAACAAAAAGAAAAAAATTAAATATTTAAAGAAAAGGAGATTGAAATTGACGAGGGTGATATGGAAGGTCATTGTTGTACAGGTCAATCTGAGACGCTTCATCGGGATTCAATAATGTTTCTGTGATGCATTTCATTTTATTTACTTTCTTCGTTTCTTAACAAAACGATGGTGATCACAATTAGATATAGATATCAGTTGCTCGACCTTAACAAAGCGATCGGAACTGTCTTTTTTTGCATTTTTCGTCGCTAATATTAATCTTATAATTCATTCTCTGCTCATTATTTATATAATTGTTCCATATTAAATGACATAGGTGACATAACATTTCGCAAAGTGATATATACAAAATTACTGGTAGAAAATTGTTTGCAAATTTTTTCTAAAAGTAGCAAATAACTGGTAGTGATTATGGGTGCGTTCAGCAGATTCATTATTGAGTTGCTGAATGCAACCATTAAAACAATTTCGTTGAAAGTTCAAACGTGATTTTTAGATCGAGACTTACTTCCTAACTAAAGTTTAATATGTCAATTTAAATTATTCTTTATTTAACGTACACATTTCTGTCAATTATGACAAAAACGAATTGGTCCTTATAAAATCGAATTTTTACAGTGATAATTAAATAAATGTATTTAACATAAAGGAATTAAAATTGTAATTATACAAAGCATGATAGCTAAAAAGGAATTATTAATTCACAATATGTGCAAAGATTAACATCATAATCTTTGTATTATATATAAATAATTGTAATTATTCAAGTAATTAGTCAATAAAAGTAATCAGACTGATATATCAGAATAAATCAATCAATGCTAAAAGAACATCTCTAAAAAAAATTTTTTTAATTTGACATATATAAGCTGTTTTAATATGAATTCTGAAGCGTCATATGATTCTAGAGATGAGTACAGTAAATGTGATCCTAACAGTTAATAGAGCTACCGTGGAACTTTCAGCGAATCAAATAACTTTTTAATCGAGATACGGCATAATTTTAAAATAATATACGCGGTAATTGTGTTGATCGATCGATATATCAGTCTTCGTGCAGGTTCATCATTGGGATCTGGATTAGGAGCAATATTTCGTATATTCAAGTTGATGCTGGCTGATACTAAATATCAATAATCGATTCAGAAAACCATTTACGACTGTTTACGAATTTCATAGAGCAATGGTTCTCAAATTTTCGTATAATAATACGAATCTTTTTCTATCGTTTAAAATAAAATTAACTGTAATTTAAGCACCGCTACAATAGGATGATTTTAAATACGACGTCGTGCAAGATTTATTTTTATATATGTTACATCGCCGTTAAAAGCGTTCCGTTCACCTTTATACAAAAGATTCGTATACAGCCTGATCAAAAGGTTCGAATGATACAAGATCAATGTGCCATCCGCTATTTACAGTCGACGAATACGATCCGTCGCGAAAGAAGATTCTCGGTCTTGGAGCATCTTGGCGGAAGTACCTCGTTATTACACGATAATGTCGGAGTTGAAATACGACTTTGTCGCGTTAACGATCACGCTCGAATTACAATCAATCTACGGGCTAATGATTACTTCGGTATTCTACATCGTATTATATATGTATATTATGATAAGGGGAGACTGGCCAGAACATGCGCAATGTATTATTGCTTTGGCTATGATGCGTAGTGTAATATCTTTATTAGTGTATTTTTTCGTAGAAATAATTAACGTTACGAGTTTGAGAGCGAACGGCGGAATGAATCTCGGTTTCATCACGGAAAGTCCGTTTAAACGGCGAAAACTCCACATGCAACGAATCGGTGCAACTACGTGATTTTTATTTCTTTTTTTCGTCTTCTCCTCTTTCATTTATTTCGTTCGAGCGAAAGAGTTACTGAGGTCTGTTCTTTTATTTTTCCGCTTTATACTCGCCGTTCATTTCGGCTCACGTATTTAACTCCAAACAACTACTGTACGTTACATTCACCGTAAACTGCAAGGTGACGAACTGCAGACAACGGTGCACGATCGGACTACAAACAGAACGTATGCAGATCCATTCCGTAAAGAGTAACTTTGTTACATCGCAATTGCCGCGATTCGCGTGGCAACAATCTCTACTTCACGGGAATTCCGTTTCAAAGGGAAGAAGCGCACGGGAAACAATGCGGCCGATTAATCTCGCTCGGATAGTCTCTGTTGCTTCTTACTGGTTTTCACCTGCAGCCGAGTATCTCGAAGAAACATTAATCGCTGTCGTAATGCGAGGGATTATGTTCCACAGTGTATGAACAAGAAAGATCATCATACAGGTCTGCGGTATAAATGTTAAGTTACGCGAATTGTGTGCGCTGGTGACGTTCTTTCATACAAACGCGAATAACGTTCTCGCAGTTTGCCTACGTATGTTAAATTGCACTGTCGCTTTTTGCACGCGGACCGAAACGTTCTCACTTGTTCTTAAACGACAATTCGTACCGTGCGCTTCCTTACGAAGTCACCGTTTCGAGAATAAAATGTCTCTTTATTCAAAGGAATTTCGAAGTATTTCTTAATACTTCTTCTATTTTATTTATCGTGCCTCATCTATTCTTCTGTCACTGTCAAGGAACATTCTCTTCAGTGCCTAACGTCCACTTCGTCTGTCGCCTGATTCTCCAACGTGCATGGTCTGTGGAACTCCTGACCTCTTTCATGCAGCCATTTGTTTGCCACTGAAAAAAAAATAAATTGTAAATTATAATATATTGTGTGTAATATAATATCTATGAAATAAAAAAAGAACGTACCCCATTTCGATCCTGTAAGTACCGGGCAAGCCGCGTGTCTAGTTTTAAAATCTCCCTCACCATTAGGCTTTAGATTATGCCAAAACGCCGCACTACCCTTCCTCGGCCAAAGTGATATGTTTATAGCGGTGAATACGGTACCGCCTCCTTGCTCGACATCGCTCATCTGTAGACAATGAGACAATGTAATCCCGAGAGCTGTCAACGTGCGACAAATCGTAGTGCACAGTATTGAAACTTACGTAATACAGAACCGTTGCAATTCTGTTACCAGTCCCGAGGCTCTTGAACGCATTCGTCTCTTCTTTCTGTAAAAAGAGTTAATTTAATCTGATGGCAAATAACTGCAGAATAGCACGCTCTGGTTGCTTCTTATAGTCAATTTACCCTTGCAAAATCGAAATGTGGCTCGTAGTGACCACCGATGCCATAATTAACAACTTGCAGTTCCTCTGCTGTCTCCACAGACATACTTGTCATGTGCTCCACACGTTTACTCACCGCCGCTACGTGCTTATGCTCGTGCTCCTGGAGCCACGCGCTCTTACTGATTCTGTAATTCGCTATCTCTAAGGCACCAGTCTTGTAATTCTGTACTGTGGCGCGCTTAAACTGCAACACGTAATTGCCATTATCTTCAGGAATTCCTGCAATTTCGCGGCGCGCGGAAACACGCGATGTACAGCGGCGTCTCAGAGGAGACGTTCGTCTCAGCGAGTGATAATTTCCACTAAATGTAATTATTTACCCTAGGCTGAGCCATTCGCTTGATCGTCTCGATTTCCTCGTCGTAGATCACGTTGTGATAAACAACTATCCTCGGATCCAGATATGCCTCCTCCTCCTTGAACGGCGCGATTTTCAGAAAAGGAATTCCACGGTCGACGTAACGGCACTTAAGATTCTTCCCCACCTCCGGCGGAATAGATACTTCGCCGCGACAAAGCATCTCGTACCTCTCCCTCTCTGTCATTTCCTCCCATGTTTTCACCCTTTCCTCGGCGACAGTGAAGTTCTGCAAGTGCGATAACGAACTTTATGGACGCTTGCGGAAAACTGAGATTGCTCTCCGAGATTTCACATCGTCGAAAATAATAGTCGACCAAAAGTTCTTCGTTATTTAACGCTATCTTTCGCACTAATCGCAAGTTAAATAGATAAATGATAAATTAGTTTACTATAGTAAATCAAATAATTATTTGTTTAAAAAATGTCCACTTCCGTTACTTTCATTATATTTCCCCTTAATGAAACGGCTGATCCCAAGCGTGGTTTACCTGCTCAGGTATCGCTGTATCATCCTTTCCATCCTCGCCTCGCTTCTTTTTTGACTGACTCGCCTTGCTTTGGATCTCCTTTTGATAATACGCGCGGTTTCCTAACGCTCTCTCGTGTGTCGGCACCAATTCGAGCAGCTCGTTCGTCATACTCAAAGCACGGGCGACATTACCTGGTTGGCGATAAAAACGGAATAACATATATATTTGAAACGTGCTGCCAAAGGAGTAGACTCTTAGAAATTTCCTGCGCCCTTCGCGATGTATACGACATATATATATAATTTACTGTCAGAACCTTGCATGTACGTCGAAAACGC